TGGGCTTCAGTGCTGTGGTGAATCTATAGATATGATAGTTTCTGAATGCCACAGTTACTGGGTATGAGGAATTTTAGTCTGCTCAGCAACCTGGTCACGCTCTCAGGTGGCTGTGGCTCACAGTAATTATGGTCACCTGGTAGAACAAGCAAACCAACCCACAAAGCCTATACCACACTTCGTCAAAGAGAACTTCCTCCTTTCAGAATGTTGTCTCCCAGCCACAGGCATAACTGAGGCTTCAGTGAGTGAGCCAATCAGTGTTGAATTAGACCAGCCAGTTCCAGATTATGGGGTATGTGGTAAATTTGATTGATTCCATGGGCGCAACCTCATTGCTGCACTTCCCTTGCTGTGAAATGAGTGCCTTGATCAGACTCAATACTTTGCAGAATGCCATGATAACGCATAAGTATTTCTGCAAGCTCATAGAGGGTGATGCTGGCAGAAGTTTAAAGAGCAGGGAATATAAATCCATACACAGAATATGTATATTTCAGTGAGGAGCCACTTCTACCCACTCTATGATGGTCAATGTGATCAACCTACTACCAGCCAGCAGACTGGCCCCCTGAGGAATGGGGGCAGCAACCCGGTTAGCGGCTGAGTTTTAATGTAGGTCTCTGCTGTTGCTAAACTAGGCACTCAGCAGCAGCGTTAGCCACATCAGCCTTGTTAAGGAGAAACCCAGCCTGTTGAGCCCGTACATAGTCTTCATCTCCGCCACTATAGCCACTGTTTTTTGTGGACTGTCAAGCAAGCACCGGAATGGCTGGGGAAAAAAGCCAGCTGACTTCCACAGAGTCGGTCACTTTGCCCACCTGATTATTAAGAGCTTTGCCTGCAGAATGAATGCTCTGGTGAGCATTTACGCGGTGCACAGCTATCTGCACGGGGTGTACCCGTCCAGAGAGGATTCAGAATATAAAATAAAAAGAAAACACAGAAGGAAGAGCTGGGTAATGAGGTGATAAGGAGAGATGATAAGTTCGGCTTGGGGTACCCTGAGTTTGAGATGTCTGTGGGGTTTTCAAGCACAGAGGGGCACTTCTGGAACTCAAGAGAGATACTAAGATACAGAAATTTCACTGTAAATGATGTAGAGGTAATAGTGGAAACCACAGGCAGGGAGGAAATATTCAGGGCCAGAGGTGAATTTGACGAGTTGAGGAAGGAACTGTGCAGAACATCTGGAGCGGCTGTCAGAGAAGCACTTAGAGAAAACTGAGAGTCCCTTAGGAGAGAACCTGAGCCAGAGCAGCGCCACGAGGGCAGAGGGGAATGGCTCCTAAAAGTGAGAGTAACCAATGATTGTTCCATATGAGGGAGAGATAGGTAAAATGCAGGCAGAAAAATTCCATCGGATTTGGCCCTTAGAGCATTGTTATCCATACAGAAAATCGTTTCCGGTGAGTGATGAGAGCAGGAGCTAGATTCGCAAAAGGGTTCGCGAATGAACGCGAGGCAGGGAAGCCGAATCAGTGAAAACCACCCATTCACCCAAAACAAAGATTAGGGAATGAAGTAAAAAGAGCTCTATCTAGCGTTTCTATATTAGCCCTTAAAAGGGATGATCCAGAGGTTTTAAGATGAAAAAGTTTGAACATTTTATAAAATGAAAGGGAAAGCACTTCTATGCAAATAGCATCATTGCAGAACAAGAAGAGAGACAGCATCCCAGGGAAGGGACCAGATACCTGCCTCATTCTCTTTGAACAAACTCGTGGGTGCAAGGATAACAGATTGGGGGCGGCAAATTTGTAGGAGGTAAGGAAGGAAATGGAGTTGGTTACCTTCCCCCAACTTAACTGTCAGACTACTAAGTATGTGCTTGTCATGACAGTAAAATCTAAGTTTCTTGGACAAGACTGACGAATATTTATAATTTTGGGAGAACAATAGTGGGAAATGAAAGGGGAAGGAATAGAGCAATCTAATTCAAACGCTCAAATTCCACTTCTTTCCCAAAGTCTTCTCTGCCACTTCCTCTAAAAGTAAATACAGTATTAATAATGCATTTATATAGCAATTAAAAATAGTTCCTTTTAAAATCCCTATTCTATCATCTTAAATGGCACTTGTCATTTTATGCTATGCAGTTATGTCATCTTTTCATATGTGTCTTTCAAGAATTTGTAACTCTTTTAAAAAAGAATCCTGCTTCTGTTTATCCCTTACAGCATCTACTATGCTGGGTAACATATTAACACGGTATTTCAGTAATTCTCCCTGTATAACAAATCATGCTAAACTTAGTGGGGTAAAAACCCAATTTTTTTCAAATTATTATTTCTTACCATCCTGGGAATCAACTAGGTGGTTCTCACATCGGGGGTCTCTCCTATGGTTGCAGTCCAGAAACATCTGGAATCTGCCTCCCTCCCTCAGATCCCTGGAGGTTGACATTGAATGTCACCTGGGACCCAGGATGACTGTGGGCAGGAACACACATCCCTGGCTTCCTCTGGGGATGGTGGCTGCGTTTCCAGAATAAGTGTCCTTAGAGAGCCAGGCAGAAGCTCCATCACCTTTTAGGGCCAAGCCTTGGAAGGCATGCAGTATTATTCTGCCACATTCTATTTGTTAGAATTAAATCACTAAGGCCAGCCCTATTCAAGGGAGGGGAATTTAGATTCCACCTCTTGATGAGAAGAGCGTCACAAGAATTTTCAGATACTACATACAGTAAGTGCTAATTAAATGTCTGTTTAAGCATTGAACGGGTTGAAAAAGCCTCAGAGGAAAAAAAAATAAGAATAGTGCACGTTCTTAAAGTTCCAAACAGAAGTCAGTAATAATGCTAAAGAGGCAATTAACCCATAAAACATGCCACCCATGGCTACCTGTTTGACAGTGAGTCCTTGTAACCTTCTGCACGCTCCTTTTAGGGGATAAAATTGAGCTGTTTAATTTAGGACTGTGTAGTAGCACCTGGGGATCTTGTTAAAATGCAGATTCTGTTCAGTAGGCGAGGTGGGGTCTGGCATTCTGCATCTCTAGCGAGATCCAGGGCGGTGCTGCAGCTCATGGACCACCCACTGAACAACAAAGTCGGTAGCAAGTGTTAGTAGGAGTGGCTGCCTGGCTCCTGTGAGCGCCTCCTTCTCTGGCAGGGGCCCGAAGAGACGGGCAGGCCGCCTGAGCTCTGGATGTGCTTACAGGGCCTCCGCCCTCTGACCAGTGAACCCTTGACACAGTTAATCAGTTCTTCCGCAAGGTTCAGGACTGGAGATAAAGGAAGAAGTAACTTTCCTCTTTCTTGCGGTGAAGCACAGGATATGAGGCTCTGGAGTTACCAGGCATGTGACAAAATCAGTCTCCAGGAGGCATAAAGGAAACATGCAGAGAAGAAAATCCAAGTAACATTCGAGTCCCTTCTTCTCCTAGGACCAGCTCCACAGATTTTATTCTTGTTCTGTTACAGTTGTCCCAATTTTGCCCCGTTGCTCTCCCCTGCCCTGCACTCGCCACCCCGCCAATCCCCACCCTGTTGTCCATGTCGTGGGTCATTCATACTAACTAGGCCCTTCCCCTTCTTTCCTCCCTTATCTCCCTTCTCCTCCCCTCTGGTCCCTGTGAGTCTGTTCCTTGTTTCCATGCCTCTGGTTCTATTTTGCTTGTTTGTTTTGTTGATTAGGTTCCACTTACAGGTGAGATCATATAGTATTTGTCTTTCACCACTGACATTTCACTTAACATAATTGTCTCCAGTTCCATCCATGCTGTCACAAGGGTAGCAGTGACTTCTTTCTGCTGCACAGTATTCCATTGTGTAAATGTACCAGTTTTTTATCTACTCATTTACTGATGGGCAGTTAGGCGGTTTCCAGCACTTGGCTATTTTAAATAATGCTATGAACATTGGGGTGCATAAGTTCTTTGAATTGGTGTTTCAGGATTTTTAGGGTATAATCTCAGCAGTGCAATCACTTTACCAAAAGAAGTTCCATTTTTAGGGTTTTTTTGAGGAAACTCCATACTGTTTACCACCACAGTAGCTGCACCAGTCTGCATTCCCACCAACAGTGCACTAGGGTCCTGTTTTCTCTGCATCCTCACCATTTGCTGTTAGTTGATTGCTTAATGATGGCCATCCTGACCAGTGAAGATTATGTGGGATAGCTTACTGTCCCTCCAGCAGATCCCCCTCTTGGACTAAAGTTGTTTTATTTGAGTTTCTAACATTGGATGCTTAAAAGTCCTGACTAACGTGAGGTGGGGAGGAACAGGGTGTCTTCTCCTGGAAGTGCAGTAAACACTGTGATGGAAGAATAAAGAAATTCAGGCTGGATTGTTATCCAGGCATCCGGGGCCTGCAATAAGAAAGACTGTCCATTAAATCATGCTAAAGGTATGTTTCCAACAAAGTGGATAGACCAGTGAGAGAGAAGACAGTAAGAAACTAATGTTGAAGGAAGACTGAGAACAGCCTCAACCTATTCAAGCAGGAGGAAAAAGTAGAAGAGACAAGAGGGTCTGTGGGTTGAAAATGAACAGCATCAGAAGAAGGAGTAAAGAAACTGTTACCCCAAAAAGGAATCAGTTAAACACGGGAGGGAACAGGACAGTCTTGGAGCACCAAGGCAAATGTTCTTTAAAGAGAAACCTCCGGGCCTTAGTGGAGGTTGCAAACGAGCTATGCAGAGCTCTGTCCGGCGAAGGCTAAACAGCTGCAATCTCCCTGTGTGCCAGGCATGTACAATGTGCTTTGCATTTATGACCTTGTTTAATGACCCCTAAGGGAGTGTCCCATACTGTTCCGGCCAGCTGTCCCTGAAACGTAGCGCAGTCAGAGCTGGCCCTTCCATGGTCAGAAGAGATCACTGAACACGGGTCACACTGTCCGAGCCCCGCCGCCCCCGAGACCCCGTGACTGGGTATTCCTCAGGCAAATCCGAAAGTCCTCTGAAGTCCCTGAGGCTGCAAGCAACCCAAGGAAAGAAGAATGACAGTGACCACCTTGCCACGTTTGAAGTAATTGAATGTTTAATAACTGGTTTCTCTGTCACACCTTCATCTATTCAATCCCATTATTCAAAAGTCTACACAGTTAAATCAACAACTATTTCATAGCATATTCCCAAAAAAAGTAAAATCTTTGCACCGAAAGAAAAAAAAAATTACTCCCAACATGTACTGTCCATGAATTGAAAGATTTTTATATTTACGCGGCAGGTACATGCGCAGGTGGGACAGGCGGCAACAGAACAAGACATGAGAAGCACTTTCTTTGTGATAAGTGCCCCCGGGTAGATGTGGCAATGAGGTAATGAGGCTGATTCCATAAAACAAAAATGGATAACCAACCATTTTAGCCGTACCTTGTGGTATGTTTATAAAATATTTCTTTCACAAGTTAAAACAGTATCTGTTACAGATGGATTTAATTTTGGTAAAATCAATGAAAAAAGTTCTATGTTAATGCAACATTTGTTGTAAAGATTCCAGAAACATATGAGTCAAAAATTCAAATTATGATTCCCACAGTTACTGTAACTCTGCTATACAGCATACATAATGGAAGAAATGTTAGCCACATATACCACAGTAGAAAATACTCAGTAAGCAGAAACACGCTGAGTTATGCTTGTTGAGGGAATCATCATTTTCAACTAGCTGAGGATATATAAAAATTGAAACCATAAATGCATGCATTATTTTATGTACTTCATTCAAATTTTTCTTGATCCAATTTAATCAGCTTTGCATCCAAACTACATTTGCCTTTCATAACTGCAAATGAATGTCTTCCATAATTTTAAAATCCACATCATTTGGATTCTTTTACTCGTGTTGGCTGCCTTTGCAGAATGGCATCCATATACCGTCCCTCCCCGCAAAGGTCAGGACATGTCTGCTGGGATCCATTCTTCTATATTCCTTTTCTCCCTGAAGGAAATTCATAGGGGCAGGGGAACAGAACACCAAAGAGACAAGAATCACACTGAGCAGCTTAGAAAGATAAATAAGTGCAACAGAAGAAGGGGCACTGGCACAATGCCCCTTGGCACCTTCCTAAGCAAAAATAAGAAAAATACCACTACCGTATATTTACAATTCCCAAAGTGGCTGGTTGTAACATAATTTACCTGATCCACACAACAAGACAAAAATAAGACCTTTTGGTTGTTAGCTCTTTGTGACTAAGTAGAATACATTTAAGGATGTGCTTTTATGTTATCATTTAAAGTCTAAGCCATTTAATTGCACTGAGACTATTACCCACTTACTATATGCAGAGGATGTACTTATTATATTGAAGGCAGAATATACTTTATGTAAAAAGATTACGGTTACGAGCTAAACATTTAACATATTTAAGTTTTTTACTTTAGGTATATTCTGAATTCAATAATGAAACAGAGATACACCTGCCTTTTGAAACTCCACCTGGGCAAAATTAATCCTGTGTATTATATCCAGTACCACTTTCCCCAGTTTGGTTTAAATAGAAAGGGCACCTTGCCCAACCTCAGAAGAGGAACCCTTTTATTTGCCAGCAGTCTTTACCATCAGGGCATTTTTCATTATATTCAAACTAAATTACTTTGGTTCAAGAACAGTCATATTTCCTTTACCCCTCTAAGTAGCTCCGCCCCACCACCGTGTTCATGACCTTGTGGGTTTAGAGGGTGAAATGGTTAACCTTTTTGTCTCTTAGCATGACTGCAATGAAGCTATTAGAATTTCAGTTTGTTTTCATTTATGTACAGAAGGATCCTTTTCCATATAATCAGGTAAAAGTTTTTCCTCCATCTATCTTAGTGTACCAACGATCAATGAAAATGAAGACTCAGAGCCTGGCAGAACGCCTCGATATCATTTGTTCTTACCTGGGAGATGACAGTTAATCCTCTGCTTGTAAAAAGTATGACTGACCATTTTACATATAATTAAAGGGTAATAATTAAATGCTAAAAGAAAAACAAATCCTAAAGAATATAAATTTTAGGATGCTTTATTGTAGAGGAAGAGTTGTCTTCTTAATGTTACCTGCAATTATACGACAGGCCTTGCGATGAATAAAGGTTTACACCCAAGTTCTCAGACAAAACATAAAATCCAGAAAGGTATCCCCTGGGACATGAATTGCAGGGTTGTCCCCCCTTAACTGTGAAGAAACAACATCCGGGGCGGATAGCAAAGCACACCCTGAACACTGTTGCCAGTTATTAGATAGTATGAAGATGGCTGGTAAGTGATGGAGATACTGAGCCCTTGCATGTTGCCGGAGACCAAGAAAGGGGCTTATTTGCTGCCTTATGTGACACGATACGTCAGTCAGACATTGGGGCAGGGCTAAAGCGTAAACTCTCCATCCAGTCCATCCACTTTAGGGGACTGTTTCAGGAAAGCTGTGGGTCCAGCAGAGAGCAAGGTTTACCTTAAGCAGAATTAAGAATTGACACTTTGAATATGGAAGCTGAAGCAAAAGTGACCAATTCTAGAGAATCACAGAATGAATGAATGCTTAGAAATATAAAATGATAGGGTTTGTTTCTCTTGAGCAAACAGTATGTGAATTTTCCAAAGGTCTTAAGTTTTCCATATAAACTGACAGCAAATAAGGTCCTAAAGACGGATAGTACCATAGAAAAAGAAACTGATTTTCCAAATTTACTAATAATTAAAGCTACAGAATTCCAGTAGAGACTGACAGTAAAATATTCACACAGTAAATAATGCAGCAAAGGAAAATTTTGGGAACAAGGTAAGTGGTCCAACAAAAGAACACTTAAATAAATGACGGTAGGTTCATAAGAGGGGTGCTCTGCAGCCACCCCCAAGTGTTCCGGAAGACGATCTGAGGGAGGAAAAGGGCTGATAACATACTCTAAAATGGTGTGTTCTATATAGCCTCTATTTTAGAAAAAAAAAAAAGTACATAGAAAAACAGACTGGGAGAGCATACACAGAAATACTATCAGAAGTTACCTCTGCTGATTAGAATTTAATGTCTTCCCTTTTTTTTTTTTCCTTTTCCAAATGAAAGGGGGCATTTGGGAAATTCTTATTTTCAAAAAGAGTCAATGACTATATCCTGATGTCTTTGTACCACCTTTTTAATAACACACCAAAGGAAAAACAGAAATATATTTAGTGCCATTTAGCACTTGAATTAACAATTATTTAAGTTAAAAAACAACAGTTCATCAAATTTACAGTTTCCTTATACTGTTTGCTAATTCACACAAGAGCAATGTATTTTTTAAAAAGAAAAGAAAAAAAAATTTTTATCCACAGTTGTAGTCTTCCATGCAGTCTTCTTTACACATCACCACGTCTAGAAAATGAACTTCATGTGCTTGATTCCGTAAGTTTTGAAGAAAACCATGATAATGAGTGCCCACAAACCCAGAATAAAACCCCCGGGAGGATGCCAGTCTTTCGGCTTTGGTTTCTGCAAAACAAGGATGACATGGTAAATTTAACAAGGGGTAAATAATTCAACAAAGGGCAAAGCAAGACTGATGGAAAATAGAAATTTAACAAGTTGTGTTTCAAGGGGGAGTAATTTAGCTAAACTGTCTTAGAACAGTACAATGGTAAAGACCTTAAACAAGATAAATATCTCTAAGTGGCTCTTACAAATATCAGTTTCAAATGATATTTTGTTCCTCAAAAGGCCTACCCTACCCAATCATCTCTCTCCAAACAAGCTATTCATTAGCCTAACAGTCCTCACTTTGAATTTACATGTTCATTAGTTTGTTGGTTTAATCTGTCTTTCCTCTGTGAAGGGCATCTCATTGTACTCCCCACACCCGCCTGCACAGGGCCTGGCATGTAGGAAACATTTATACGGTATACCGGGTACATCAGTAGATAAACAAAAGCTGCCCGATTCCATTTACTCTGATATTCAACAAATACTTGTTTGGGGCCACTGTCTTCGATCATGTTACTCCCTGGGGTAGAATGTTCCTTATTCCACGATGCCTATTGAAAACTCGCTCACTCAAATGCCAACTCCTCCAGATTTTCCCAGCTGATATATTCTGTTCTTTGATTCTGTAGCTCCTTCTACTTTTACTCCTATTTACTATTATAATTACTTTTATTGCTTATCTCCCTGCAAACTTTCAGGGGTCAAATTCTGGCTGAGCACATTTTGCACGCCCTTCTCCATTCCCGATGCCTTGACACTGAGCCAAGTGTCTTGTATGTTTCCTTGCCCAGCAAGGAACGGCAAACCAGTCTTCCCCCTTCGGTTGTCATTTCAGCAGTTACATTATGGCCCTGGCATTGGAGGTCTGTCACTATGATCTCTTTATGAGTTCTACTGCCTGAATTAGTAGCTATGATTATAAGGATAGTTATGATGAGAATCACATTTTAGAGTAGACTAGAGTGAAGAGAAACTGTAACATGACGTTTGCTTCAGTCATCATGTAAACTAGATCTAAGAAAGGTTCATAAATCTCTTTGCTGAATCCACATCTTAGTTTGGCTCGCCCTTACATAACCAGGCCCCGATGCTCTTCACTCAGCCTTAGCTAATCGCTGTAACTTTCAGGTGGTGTTTAAAGCAAGTCATATTGAAAATAAAAAAGGTGAACAACATTTAAGTTCTATGATTTATTAGAGATTACTTAAATAACATTGAAATTATTTAAATAATAAAAATCTTATTTTTGCAGCTGTAGAAACTCAAGTTACTTGTCAATGAGATGAATTTTCTGTGTTATAATTTCACCATTTGATTTTAAATGGAGTAGCCAGAAACAGTTGCCAGAGATAAGGTGACTCTAGTGTCTTTGGAAGTAACTCCCAAAGATTGGATAGCTATTTTGATCTGTTATTCCAAAGACAGGCTCGGAGAATTCGGGAGGCACTGCTTCCGGCCTCCAACGAGATGTGCCCCACATTTGCTCCACTGATGCCCAGGAGAGGAGCGGGAAGAGAAGCAAAGTGCTAGAGCTGTGGTTTCCCAGCAGCAGACTTTTGAAAGTAACAATGGAGGACTAACAAACATGTAACTGCTTCAAAATTATAATGAAAGGGTGTGTGTGTGTGTGTATATATATATATACACACACATATATATATATCACATTGTAACTTGAACAAGCTAACAAAAGCAACAAATCTCAGCCTTTTAAAACTGCCTGCAGTTGCTATTTTTTATTGTATATCCATGACATACTTTTGATGAACAAAAATTGGAAAATGAATTATTAATTAATTACTGCTTGGACTCTTGGCTTAACATGGCATCTAAGTAGAATACCCAGTGCAACCTCTCCCATCTTCTCTGGAAAACACGAAAGCCCGGAAAAAGACATCAGAAAATGACACAAAAAAATTAATTTAACCTCTAAGGATAAAACATAGACACTTTCATTATCTGAACGTCCTAGAAACCAGGTCTAGAAACAAATTAATGTTGGCCCAGTTTTATGATGAGTACACAAGAGGCAAAGTACCACTCTGCTCTGTGAAACAACAATTCTGTCAGCTCATTCCCTTTTTCTCCCTGTAGTTTAAAGACCATGTCAGAGGCACAGGGCTAGTAATGTTGGTTCACTACATCTGAGAAGCTTCGATATGCACATGAGAAGGTCTGCAGAGAAGGCAAAATACAGGGAAAAAACTCTTTTAGTAGTGCATGTTAAGAAATGTGGTTTTTTTCATATACTTCATCTTTTTGAAGTGCCCCCAAATCAGGTATATGTAGCATCATAGATGATCCTAGTTTAGTTTAGCAAAACCACATTTGATGCCTGCCTGCCAGTCACTGGGAAAAATGTGACCAACCACCTATACTTCAAATGTAGATCTGAGAACGCTGTTCAAATCTAAGTAGACAGTGAGAAGGATCCCAATGCTCTGCTGGCAAACACCAAAAAGTGTTCTAAGAAAGAGGAAAAAACAAAATGAAATCCATGAGTAAAAATACTCTCACATTGAGTAAGAAATATTCTGAAGATACAGAGAACATATCACTGAATAAGATTTAATAAGGAAGTAAAATATAATTTTAGAAAAATTTTATTTGGCATGGGCTTGAATAAAGATGCGCAAGGAACTCCCCAAAATTTAAGTGGTATAAAGACAAAAATAATTCAAGACACAAGAACAACAGGCTAGATAAAAGGGAGCTGGATCACATAAATTTTATAATAGCAAAATATACTGATGAAAACGGTAAGTGCCCTAAACACATCTTTGAGTCCTTCATTCATCTAACTGTGATAGACTGAGAGCAAAAAATGACTCTAATTCTCCCACTTCCTGTGTCCATACCCTTTTACAATACACTGCTTTACAGAGCTCTCATCGAGAGGTGGAATCTCTATACTTACTCCTTGAATCAGCTGACCGTGTGATATCTTTCGGCCAACAGAACACACACAACAGTGTCCTACTTCTAAATCTAGCCTCAAGAGGCTTGGGTTCCTTCAGCTCTGTCTCTCAGACCTCTGCAACCACCACGGCAAAAAAATCTAAGCAAGGCTTCTGGGGAAAAGATGCCATGTGACAAAGAGGTCAGGTCTCCCAGCCACCAACGAGCCAACGCCCAGAAGTAGAAACACCCAACCAATCTAGGGTTGACCACAGATTCATGAGCTCAGACCATGTTCTCATGGGCTGAGAACAGAATTGCCCAGAATTCAGACTAAATTGCCAACCTGTAGAATTATGAGCTAAATAAATGACTGATGTTTAGAGCCGCTAAGTTTTGGAGTGATTTGTTATGCATCAAAAGCTATGGAATACATCCACTGAAGTGACAATGTGGAAGGAAAAACCCTGAAACTTGATTTTCATAAGAAATTTAAGTTCCCATCTACACACTTGTAGCTTCATGTTTCTGCAACAGTGGTGTAAATAAGAACAGAGTGAAGGGCAGCTAATCAACCCCTTGTCCACAATGAACTTCGTTCAGGTTGGGGAGGTCTGTCAAGATAATCCCCTCTGACCCTCATAGAATGAGAAATCCATCCCCATTAACTCATCTGAGCTAAATTTCATAAAGGAGGAATTTCAACAACCACTTGTTGCATCTGAACAGGATCTACAGCCAGCCTCTGTTAAAGCTATCCAGGAAAAATACAGCTATACTGTCTCCTAGAGGTAAATTTCACAAATGTGCTTTGCCACCCACCGCCCTCACCCTAAGGGAACTGCGGGGAAGCTCGCTTCTAGCTCTCTGGTCCAGCCTCCCTTGAAGCAGACTGACTTCACTTGTCACCATGCCAGGAACTGTTCTCACAGAAATGAAGTAGGAGAATCTAGAGACTAACTCCCTTAGCTTCCCCCTAGCCCTCCTCCTCTGCAATCTAGATCTGAGGTCTAGCTCAATTTGGAGTCAGCAATTAGTGTTAATCAGACGTTGTCCCCTTCTGGAGAAACGAACATCTCCCAGGATCTCGATGCACCTTACCCAAGGTAAATTTGCAAAGCAATTATTCTCATCTAGGATAATTAAAAATGAGTTGTTTTCAACTGTGATTTTATTTTTAATGGAAAGTGAAATGTGCTTTTTCCTTAACGATGACTTAATTTTTCTGTGATAAGAACAACCGAATATCCACTTTTAACATTATTAATATCAGTCTGGAATTTCTGGCCAATTCAGACATAACATTTAGGAAGGAGAAGTAAATTTTCATTATTTGCAGATAGTTTGATTAGTCATCAGCCAACTCTACAAAATCAAAATTATTGTGAATAAAGAGCTCAGATATGAGATAAACATATTTTAGAAATATACTTCCAATATGCCAGTAAAAACAAGTCAGAAAATAGAATCGAAAAAAATTACATTCACAACAGTAATGAGAAACATTAAATAACTAGGAATACCAATAGCATGGGATGTAAGGTAAACAATTTATATATAGGGAGCGGTAAGCAGTCCTAAATATCAAAAATAATATGATAAAGCTAATTTATAATGTTGTTCTGATGCAAAAACACCAGTGCAACAGAAAAGAAAGTAGGTAATCAGCCCAGTATCCAAGAATTTAGTATACAATAAAAACTATTACAAGTCAACAGGCAAGGGAATATTCTTACTGGTGCACTAACAATGTATTAACATTTGAAAAAAACTCAGTTCTGTTTCTAACCCAACACTATAAATCAAAATACACTAACATGATTTAGAATTAGGTGGAGAAATATTAGACTATTAGATGGAAAAAAACTGTTTAAATTACTTTTGTACAGTGGCACGTAGGGACACATCACAATGGAAGCCATGTTAATCTTACAGGTGGAGAGCAGTTAAAAAGGAGCTCATGTGGAGGGTACAGCACATGAGTCCCAGGGCCAAGAAGCTGAGGGGACTGTCAGGTGGGTGGCTACTCAGGAAGGACTTGGAAGAGCTGGCTATGGTGGTGAGAAAAGCCAGGCATCGGGAAAGGGTCATGTCCCAGACTTGCTGGAGGAGGA